ATTACGATTAGTTATGAAACTAAGACAATTAAGTATAAATGATCGTATAGAATTGTAGAAAAATCTTCCTTTGATAGGCTAATGCAGTAAAGTTTCTATCACTAACATTTTTCCTGCATTACTTTTATACTATAAGTAGTTTTAAAAATGATACTTTTACACTTTACTTGAGTAAAAAGTTTAATTTGATGCTCTACCTTCTACAAAAGTGTTTTTAAGGAGTAGTATTTATACTTCTACTGGAGTAATAACCATTAATACATTTGACACTTCTGCCTACCTCCAAAACATAAGATGATGATTGTGTCGTGTGACGTTTTAGAACAGAGCAATGTCAGAATATGCTTTTTATTTTTATCCTACCTGCAAGAAAATGAAGAACTGCTTTACATCAGGTGTTAGCCATTGCTTTATACAAACTGAATCATGAAGTTTTTCATTTAGAAAATACTAACTGTACCTTTTTTTTTTTTTGTCTCCTTATGTTTTAATCGTTATTCCAGAAGGAGCTGAGCCTTCCACGCAGGGGAAATGTGTAAGTAATATCCCTCACCTCCTGTGCAATCTGTCTACCTCTGATGCCCTTTCTACCCCCTCCAAACAAGCGAGATCAGTCAGATCACTATCACCTGTTCGCTTTGTTGTGATCGCCTGCACCAGCCTTTGTTTACTTGACCCTCTGATGAGGCAGCAACGTCTGAATTTGCCGGTAAGACGGGGCGGTCCTACTGCCCAGACAGGTTTCTGTAGGTCTACAGAAACACGAGGCAGCAGAAAACCAATACTCGTGCAGGGAATCCAGTAAATGGCTTGTTCTTTTTCTGGAAGTTTTACCATTTGAATATGTGAACATGGTAGATGCAGTTCTATTCATCAGGCAGTGAAAAATCAGCTTTGCATATTATTGTTATGAAAGATGACGCATGTAAACAAGCTGCATGGGAATTTGTTGTTCGGCCAGTTGAACCTCAGTGTAGCAGCTGCTTCTGTATGGAGTGAATTTGATCTGCAAGCAGAAAATACGTCTGATTTAAACTGTAAAAAATTCCAATCCAGAAGTTAAACTTTGAAAAAGTTCTCAATCTAAAAAGGTTTTGAGAGTAACTTTGCTGTTTTCTTAAATTTGCCTTTTTCTATTCTAATTTAATTTATTTATTTATTTTTTTTAAAGATTATATATTTTTTAATGTCAGTTTTTCAGGTTATGTTTTAAAAATTGCTCTGTTTTCCACATCTTTCTAAGCCTAATACAAGCACTCTCTCTTGACCAATAAAAGTGTTGTTGCTAACGTCCAGCAGACCAATAGAAATGCGTCTTTTCTCCTCACTCCGAAGGAAAGCCCGCCCCCACACTTTAAGGGAATGTGATGTGGAAAATGTAATCTGAAGAGTGCAATTCATAAATTTCAATCTGAAACAGAGAAATTAAAAAGTAAAGGTTGTCAAATAAAAAGAAACAAAAGAGCATTTGAAAATGATTGAAAATATAATTGAAAGCAAAAAAATTTAAAATAGCAAAGTTACTCTCAAAACCTCTTTCTTAACAGGATTTTCAAACTTCTATTTTCAAATCTTGTTCTTTGATTGCAACACATTTCAGTCCATAACTCTGATCTGATCAGATAATTTCTGTCTTTGAAGGCATTGGAAACAGAAATATTACATGATCCTAATCTTAACCTTCATTGCAGATGTAGGTTTTAAATAAAATAAAAATAAAAATAAACCACCTCTCCAATAGTAAACAGAATTAAAGAATTGTTAAAAGTATTTTCCTTCACTGCTTCTGAGACATAAATATGTTCCAGGGACCCAAAGTATCTGATCTTTTCAAAACAAACTTGTGTAGTTTCTGTTTTGTTGTAAATTAAAGGGTTGAACTAACTCTGAGGTTATTTTCACTCAAACTCTTTGCTTTTAGGATTAATTATTCCAGTTTTGTCTCATTTAAATCTGTACACTTGAATGGAAGAGGATACATTATACCCCCCCCATCCACAAAGACACCCATACTTTTTCTGCCATCATAGTGAGGACCATGTATTGACTCCCACTGACTTAAATAGA